CGCCTGCGGCTCCAGCACACCCGCTCACCCCCGGTCCCCCGCAGCCTCGTCCTCGCCTCCTCCGTGCGCGCGTAGAACGAAAGTACTACTCCAGCCAAAGGAAGAACATATATCTCCCAAACATCTCCCGAACAGAAAACTCTCGACTCCCGACCGCCAGAGGAAGAAGAAAGGAAGAGGAAGGGGGGAAGCGAAAGGGAGGGGGAGGAAAGCAGAAACGAAGAAGGGCAACACAGGCATAGGCACAGGCACAGGACGTGTGCAGAACGCAGGGTAAGAAGAAGAGCAGGCGCGGGGATAAAAATACAAGATTTGGAGACCTCGGCGCCCGCTCGCCCGGGCACCCAGCTCTCCGCCCGCATGGGCTCCGCGCTCAACCCTCGCTCCCCCCACCCACCCGTCCTCTAACCGCATGGCCCGCCCGTCAACCTCCGGCGCATCGTCCTCCTCGGCTCGCCTCATCGGCCCGCGCGTCCACCCCACCTCCACGCGCTCTCAACCACACCACAAATGAAAACCCTCCAAACGCTGCAAAACGCGCCAAACCCCCAACGCGTCGTGCCCTCCGCCGCGCCTCTTGCAAACGTACAACGCCTCAACGCCTCGGGGCCTCAAGCCCCCAAACCGCCTCCAACTCGTCCGGGCGCGCGCTAGCCCGCCTCCTCTTCTCCGCGACGCCCCCACCCCAAATCAAAACCCCAAAACGAGGTAAAACGTGCCAAAGAACTCGTCGGCCCGCACGTTGGCCCGCGCGTCGTGCCCTCCTCGCGCGTCCTCCTCAACTCCCCCTCCTCCCCCCGCCCATCCTCCTCCCTTCCTCATTTTCCCCAAAACGTCTCCCCCCCGCTCGCCTCCTCCCCCTCCTCCCCGTCCTCCTCCCCACCCCCACCTCCCCCCCTCTCCCCTCCCACAATCTTTTTTACCAAAAAAAAAACCAATAAACTCACCCCTCGTCCGTCGGAACCCCAAAATGCGTCCCCCGCTTCGGATCCGCGCGCCGCTTCTCCATGGCCTTCTTCACCTTGCGCTCGGGCCGCACGACGATGATGGGGACGGGGGAGTGGGTGAGGCAGTATCTGTAAGGAGGGGTTAGTGTGATGAGAAAGAGAAGGGGCGAGCGAGCGGTTTAAAAATAAATAAAAAGAGAGCTTGATAGGGATGGAAGTGGGAGGGAGGGAAGGGAGACGGAGCGTGTTAGCGCGAGCTTGATAGAGGTGCGAGTAAAGAGGGAAAGGGGAGAGAGGACGGGGAGAAGGAGGGAAGGAGAAAGGAGGAGGGGAAGTGGGGAGGGGAACGGGAAGACGAAGGAGGGAGGGCGAGCGCGTTCGCGCCAGCGCGAACCGTTGGTGAGTGTAAAGAATAAATAAGAATAATGCAAAGGGAATGGAATGGGAAGGGGGAGGCGAGGGAGGGAAGGAGGGCGGCCGGCCGAGCGCGTCAGCGCGAGTGTGATAGCGGTACAAGTAAAGAGAGGGAGGAAGGAGGAAGGAGGGGGAGCGCGTTAGCGCGAGTTTGAGTCGTGCAAGTAAAGAGAGTGAGGAGGGAGGAATGGGAAGACGAGCGCGTCAGCGCGATACTGAATAAACAGGAAGGGAATAGGATTGGGGAGGAGAAGCGGGGGAAAGAAGGGAGGGGAACGAGGGAGGGGATAAGGAACGACATCCCGAATGTCGACGCCCAAGCGCGCAAGTTCCAGATCGCGCGGCAGGGCCGGGCACATCCGTCGCGACACTCGCGTTCGTGGGGCACGTCCGTGCGCTGCTCAACTGCGAGCCCGCCGGCGCGACGAGGCGAGGAGGAGGGTAAAAAGAGAAAGAAAAAGAAGGCAGCGGAGACGAGGGACGGAGAGGAGTCAAAGGGAGACCGGCCTCATCGCTCCGAGCGCGTCAGGTTCCAATCACAAAGCATGTGGGACCAGGACTCGTCGCACCCCAAACTCCGGTCCCTCACACCCTCTCATCCTATCTCCCCCACACTCGCGTTCGAAAGGAAACATTTAAAGAAAAGGAAACCGCACACTCACTTGCTAACACTCCCAATGCCGCCCTTGCCCATCATGGCCATGCCCTGCCAGGCCTTCTTCCCGCGCGTGCCGACGACGACGCTGTCGGGTCTATAGAGGGCGATGAGGCGGTCGATGGTGTTATTGATGCGGCCGGGGATGAATTCGAGGATAAGGGAGAGCTGTAGTACAAAGGTTCATTTAGCGCTGGTTTTGGAAGAAAGGATAGATATGTGGAGGAGAAGGACAAACCTTCCGGTCAGGATCGTACTCGACGCTCTTCTCTTGTATCTGCAGCATGAGCTGCCGTGCCTCCTCCCGGACGCTGTTGTGGTCTTTCTCTGTCGTGCATAGCTCAGCATCTCATCGCACTACATCGCAAAGAGAAGGCGGACGCACCAAAAACATCCTCATCAATCCCCCGACACACCACAAGCTCATCCCCATCCTGCACCAGCGACTCCAAACTCCAATCCAGCGCCTCCCTCCCGCTCTCATCAGGGCCCGCGGCACATAGGAAGACACGCGTGCTCCGCGTGCGCGCGTACCCCGCGCTCTTGACCTGCAGCGTGAACGAGAACATGGACGCGACGGGGTTCTCGAACGTGTCGAAGGAGACTTTGGGGGTGTAGCCCGTGGGGGAGACGAAGCCGGCTGCGTGCGGGAAGGGGGAGGGGGAGGAGGAGTGGGAGGGGAGCGGCGGGGAGACGAGCATGGGGGAGATGGGTGCGGTGCCGGTGGGGGAGGGGGAGCGGCTTGTGAGCGGGGGGCTGGAGGGCGTGGAGGTGTGGCTTGAGGAGTGTTTCATTGCGGAGCGGAGGGTTGTGCCTGACATGGCGGAGTAGAGCGGCGGGGTGTGCACGGGCTCGGTGGAGGAGGACATCAAGGTACTGATCAAGCAAGTTCCGGCTTGGCGGTCTAGACTTTTATTTATTTATTTCATTTTATCTTGCGATGCCTAGGCCGTTCTGGCACTCTGACTCTTTTGCTCTGGAAAAAATTGGACACAAAAAGAAGACGTAGAGATAGAAAATATGCCATTGGGAGGAATCGAACCTCCTGAGTGCCCCTTTACATCTTTCAGTAGTCATCCTCAGAGGCGTCTAATATTCAGGGGGTGGCCACCAAGGCCACAACGGCTTCCTGCCCTCATATCTGAACTCCTCAAGCTCCATGGTACACAGCGGGAGTAAAGGGATTTTTTGAAAAAAAGAATGTATGCCATCGGAAGGATTCGAACCTCCTTCTCCCCCCATTACTTGTATGAATACTCAGGGGCGGCCTCCAAGGCCACGATGGCTTATTATCCTGTCTTTTGAAACTGGTGAAGTTCTAAATCTATTGCCTGAGGGACCAAAAAAAAAACTCTAGAATACAACGCTCATGCCATCGGGAGGATTCGAACCCCCGCTTCCCTCTTAAAGTCAAATGTGTTACCTGACAATTTGGGAGGATGGCCACCATGGCCCACAACAGCTTATTTGAGCCGGTACTGGGAGATTAAAGTAGGAAGGTGCAAGCTCAAGGTTTAGACAAAAAAAAAAGACCACCTGCTCTGGTTCATCATGCTGCCGAGAGGATTCGAACCTCCGCTTGCTTTTCCTGACGAAATCTATACTTTCAGGGCAGCCTCCAAGTCCATGATAGCTTATTTGAGTTTCAAGTTGGGTAGACATGAGCAAGATTAGAAAAAACGAAAAAAGATTCTACACAAATACCCGATGCCATCAGAAGGATTCGAACCTCCGCCTGCCCAGTCATTCAAGAGCATACATCTACTTTTGGGGCAGCCTCCAAGGCCACGACGGCTTATTCGGCTTGATAGCTGGGTAGCTAAGGTAGGCAAGAACACAAAGGGTAGAATAAATTAATTTCAAAAAAACCGCTACTTACGAGCACAAATGAATGGCATCAGAAAGATTCGAACCTCCTTCTCGCCCCATTACATCTTTAGCGCCAAGCTAATATTCGGGGGCGGCCACAATGGCCCACGACAGCTTATTTGAGTTTCGAGTTGGGTAGATATGGGCAAGACAAAATTTTGAAAAATAAATTTTGAAAAGATATCCCATTAATGCCATCGGGAGGATTTGAACCTCCACTTGCCCATTCAAGTGTAATCTTGGGTTGCATGTACTTTTTGGGCAGCCTCCAAGGCCACAATGGCTTATTCTCCTGCCTTTTGAAACTAACTTGGCTGCATTGTATAGTTCAGATTCATTTCGCCTCAAAGGAACGGGATTCTGGCGATGGCTAAAAAAAAAGATCACAGACTCGGAAATACATGCCATCGGAAGGATTCGAACCTCCTTCTCCCCTAATGACTCGTTTTACCCAAGATAATATTCAGGGGCGGCCTCCAAGGCCACGACGGCTTATTTCACTCACCTTTGGACTGGTGAAGTTCTAAATCTGTCGTCTGAGGGACGAAAAATGCACCAAAAATGCACCAAAAAAAAGACTTGGAATACATTACTCCGTATGCCATCGGGAGGATTCGAACCTCCGTCGCTCTTCTCAAGAAGTGCCCTATTGCCGCATTTGTAGAAGGCGGCCACCATGGCCCACGACGGCTTATTTGAGTAGGTACTGGGAGATTAAAGTAGGAAGGAGCAAGCTCAAGGGTAGGGGAAAAAAATAGATCACCCGCTCTGGTTCATGCTGCGGGAGGATTGGAACCTCCGCTTGCTTTTACTGAGGAAATCTATATTTTCAGGGCAGCCTCCAAGGCCATGACAGCTTATTTGAGTTTCGAGTTGGGTAGACATGAGCAAGATTAGAAATAGAAAAAAGAAAAAAGATATTATACGAATACCCTATGCCATCGGGAGGATTCGAACCTCCGCAAGCCCAATCAAATACAAGCTATCAGCTGTACTTTTGGGGCAGCCTCCAAGGCCACGACAGCTTATTTCACTCACCTTTGGACTTGTGAAGTTCTAAATCTGTCGCCTGAGGGACGAAAAATGAACCAAAAAAAAACCTCTGGGAGGCTCCATGCCATCGGGAGGATTCGAACCCCCGCTTCCCTCTTAAAGTCAAATGTGTTACCTGACAATTTGAGGGTGGCCACCATGGCCCACGACAGCTTATTTGAGTCAGTACTGTGCAGATTGAAGTAGGAAGGAGCAAGACAAGGGTTAGCAAAAAGAAAGAAAAAAACTGCAGTACAAGACCGAATGCGGTCGAGAGGATTCGAACCTATGTCTCCCCATTAGGTTTCCAATATTATTTGGGGGTGGCCACCATGGCCCATGACAGCTTACTATGCTGCATTTGGTAACTGGTTTAGCTGAACGATGCAATTCGGATTCGTTTCGTTTCAAAGGAACAAGGTTCTAGCGATGGCTAAGAAAAAAATATCCCAAGTCATACATGCCATCGGAAGGATTCGAACCTCTGCTTGCCCATTCACATGTGTTTGCAGACCGTTGATGTTTGGGGGCAGCCACCATGGCCCACGACGGCTTATTTGAGCAGGTACTGGGCAGATTGAAGTAGGATAGAGCAAGAGCAAGAGTAGGGAAAAAAAATAGATCACCTGGTGTGGTTTATGCTGCCGGGAGGATTCGAACCTCTGCGAGCCTAGTCAGGTACAAGATAAACTGTACTTTTGGGCAGCCTCCAAGGCCATGACAGCTTATTTGAGTTTCGAGTTGGGTAGATATGGGCGAGACAAAAATTTGAAAAAAGAATTTGAAAAGATATCCCATTAATGCCATCGGGAGGATTTGAACCTCCGCTTGCCCATTCAAGTGTAATCTTGGGTTGCACGTATTTTTTGGGCAGCCTCCAAGGCCACGACAGCTCTTTATCCTGCCTTTTGCAACTGGTTTAGTTCCATTGTGCATGTTGAGCTCGTTTTGCCTCGACGATGGCAAAGAAATGAAAGAAAAAGATAAACTTCGCAAGCACATGCCATCAGGAGGATTCGAACCTCCACTTGCCCATTCAAATCAAACATCGCCGACTTTGGAGCAGCATCCAAGGCCACGACAGCTTATTTAACCTACTGTCGTGTTGGTTAACCTCGCTTGGGTCAGTGAGAGCGGAAGAGTGAGAGCGGAAAAAAGTTTTTACTGCAAATCCATGCGGTCCATAGGATTTGAACCTCTGCTTGCCCATTCAAGTTTGATCTTGGGTTGCGTCTACTTTTTGGGCAGTCTCCGAGGCTACGACAGCTTAGCTCTGAACTATTCAAACTCTATGGTACTGAGAGAAAAACGAATTAAAAAATAGCAGCGACGACAACACACTGCCGGAAGGATTCGAATTGGATTCGAACCTCCAATTGCTCAGTCAAATTCACGAGTTGGAATACCAGTAACTTTTAGGGCGGCCTCCAAGGCCACGACAGCTTATTTCACTCAGCTCTAAACTGCTCTAAGGATATGTAGCAAAATTTTGTACGAAGAAAGAAGAAAAAAAGATGTCAAAGAATATCCTATGCCATCTGGAGGATTCGAACCTCTGCTTGCCCAGTCAAATCAATAAAACTGATGATTCACTTTTGGGGCAGCCTCCAAGCCACGACAGCTCATAAACTGTTTAAAACTCCATTGTGGCCAGTGAGAGCAAAAATGAACAAAAAAGAAATAGTACCCAAAGCTCATTGCCATCGGGAGGGTTCGAACCTCTGCAAGCCCAATCATTCACATAGACCATGTATTTACTTTTGGGGCAGCCTCCAAGGCCACGACAGCTCATTCCAAACTGTTTAAACTCTGCTGTGGCCAGTGAGAGCAAAGATGAACAAAAGAAATAGTGCCCAACGGGAGGATTCGAACCTCCACCTGCCCAGTCATGATTTAACTTATAGTTTACTTTTGGAGCAGCCTCCAAGGCCACGACGGGTTATTTCACTCCTCTTTGGACTGGTAAAGTTCTAAATCTGTCGCCTGAGGGACCAAAATGAACCAAAAAAAAACCTCTGAGAGACTCCATGCCATCAGGAGGATTCGAACCCCCGCTTCCCTCTTAAAGTCACATGTTGTCATCTGCCAATTTGGGAGGGTGGCCACCATGGCCCACAACAGCTTATTTGAGCTGTTAGTGAGAGATTAAAGTAGGCATGGGCAAGATTAGAAAAATTAGAAAAATCAGAAAAATCAGAAAAAAAAAGAGATTATATGAATACCCCATGCCATCTGGAGGATTCGAACCTCCGCCTGCCCAGTCATGATTCAACTTATAGTTTACTTTTGGGCAACCTCCAAGGCCACGACAGCTTATTTGGCTTGATAGCTGGGTAACTAAAATCTAAGGTAGGCAAGACAAAGAAAACAGCAAAAAGAATCCAAATGATAACAACCATACCATCGGGAGGATTCGAACCCCCGCTTCCCTCTTCAAATCATCTGTCACAGCTGCCAATTTGGGAGGGTGGCCACCATGGCCCACAACGGCTCATTTGAGCTGGTGCTGGGCAGATTGAAGTAGGATAGAGCAAGAGCAAGAGTAGGGAAAAAAATAGATCACCTGGTGTGGTTTATGCTGCCGGGAGGATTCGAACCTCCGCCTGCCCAGTCATTCAAGAGTATACATCTACTTTTGGGGCAGCCTCCAAGGCTATGACGGCTCTTTATCCTGCCTTTTGAAACTAGCTTAGTTTCATTGTGCCTGTTGAGCTCGTTTTGCCTCGACGATGGCAAATAAAAGAAAGAAAAATCGACTTCCCAAAACATATGCTGTCGGGAGGACTTGAACCCCCCGCTTCCCTCTTAAAGTCAAATGTGTCATCCGCCAATTTGGGAGGGTGGCCACCATGGCCCACAACGGCTTATTTGAGCAGGTACTGGGCAGATTAAAGTAGGAAGGAGCAAGCCCGAGGTTTAGACGAAAAAAATGCAACACCTGATCTGGTTCATGCTGCCGGGAGGATTCGAACCTCCGCATGCCCAGTCAAAGTTATGAGTTTGATCCTGGAATTTTGAGACGGAAACCAAGCCCACGACAGCTTATTTGACTTGGTATTGAGTGGAGGGAAGAGCAAGAGAAAGGTTAGAAAAAACAAAAGAAAAGTGTCTGCACGTCTTGTTTATGCCATTGGGAGGATTCGAACCTCCATCTCCCTTCTTGCTTTTACTTCCAGCTAATATTTGGAGGGCAGCCACCATGGCCCACGATGGCTTATTTGACTTGACAGCTGGGTACAAAATGAATAAAAAAAGAGGTCGAATCCACTTGCCTATTTATATGGGTTGGATTAACTAACAATGTTTGGAGGCAGCCTCCGAGGCCACGATGGCTTATTTCAGTTACATCTGAGGCAGTCTAGACTCTTCATTCGTTCAATTTATTTCTTGCGTTGGCGGGCCGTTCTCTTGACTCTTTGACGCTGATAAAAAAAAAATACAAAAAATACAAAAACCCGAAATAGAAAACCATGCCGTCGGGAGGAATCGAACCTCCATCTCCTCCGCTTAAATCATTCAGATCCCGATAATTTTTGGAGGCAGCCTCCAAGGCCACGATGGCTCATTATCCTGCTTTTTGTAACTGGTTCAGTGGCATCGTATAGTTTAGATTTATTTTGCCTCGAAGGAACTGGGTTCTAGCGATGGCTAAAAACGGATTGCAGACTCGGATAATACATGCCATCGGAAGGATTCGAACCTCCTTCTCCCCCCAAATAGTGCACACCAACGAAAGACTTATCTCGACATAGGTCAATATGCGTCCTGAGATCTTGAGCGATTTTTGCGATTGGTCCGGGAAATGCCGAACCAATCGCAAAAATCGCGCAAGATTTCAGCTAGCATATTGACCTATGTCGAGATACAGGTTCCTTCACAGCCGCGGTTTCGAGGATAACAATCCTAGTAGCGGTAGTAAAGTCGAAATCCAAGAAATTGAATATTTTTGATGTGTGACCCAAATAACGTGATGTTACAGAGTGACTGAAGTTTGGGTTATCCTCTCCAACATTGGAAATAAAATGGAGTAGACTTCTCAGGACAAATATTCATACTTGAGAAAAACTCTCTTCGAAATTCGGGGTAATTACTGGATGTTCTGAGATGTGTTACTGCGAAAGCGGCCAAAACACCGTAATTCATGTAATAAGGCATGAAAGAGGGGTAAATAAAACCAAAGAGCCTTCCAGAAGTATTTTCACTAACTCAAATGTTCCATGGATGACCCGAAACAAATATACTTTGGATGTCAGAGCAGCCGAAATGAATTTCTTGAGAATTGCTTACCAATGTGGCTATGTTGTTTGTATATGTTATCGGGCAGCCGCCGTGGAGAGGGCTCACCCCAACTTTCTGTCACAGTAACGTCACGCATAACTTCGGTCCGAATTTTCCGCTATATCATTTTCTCTGTATCTGCTTGTAATCCCGCTACTGAGATTGTGAGCCTCGAAACCGCGGCTGTGAAGGAACCTGGTCAAGATAAGTGTTTCGGCGGTGTGTAGTGATCAACCGGCGATGGCTTGGCGGGTCTAAATTTCTGATGCTGTGGTCCGCTACCAGGCTGGCGTCTATTGGGCGTCTACCGTTGCTCGTTATTTAAAGAAAGATCTCCAGGCTTGTCAAGGGCTGTTGTCTTGTCACCACTGACAACCCACTTCGACTCGGAGTCTCTGAGTCCTAATATCTTAGTCTACTACCCCAGGCCCCGGGAAGCTCCTATAAGGGTAACTCCGGAAAAATCCGCCAAAATGGCCTGAAATCCCCAAACTTTTTGGCGGTTTTGTCCCTCAAATCCCCTAAAATGGAGAAGGTTATCACGGGGCAAGGTATATGGGGGCCAAATTTGGACGATTTCTCGCCTAATTTTGTGTTTTCTGCTTGCTTTTCGGGGTTTCGCCCCAATCGGCATTATAATCCTTCAATTTTGGAGCCATAATCCTCAAAATTTCAACTCAAATGGACCTCAAACTTACTTCAGAGCTGCCCCAAATCCCCTAAATCTGGACTTGAAAATCCCCAAAATTTCTCCTCAAATCCCCTAAATCCGGACTTACCCTCATGGGAGCTTCCCGGGGCCTACTACCCCACCGACGGCAAAAGCGCTACTGCCTTGCTGCTTGTGGAGAAAGCTTAACAGCTGCCCCCGGTCCACGCAGTTCACACCACGTTCCATCATCTTACAAGTAGCCCATCAGTAGAAGCAGAAATGTGGCCTCTATCGCCGGAACAGGGCATAGTTGTAGCCCCGCCGACGTCCACGAAGACCTTGATACACCAGGCAATTTCCCCCTTCCTGCTGGATGAAATAATCCTAAAATTCTTTATTATCATAGAACTTGATCCTGTTCCTCAAGGCGGCTTCTACCCGAATTTCATCGTAAGATTCGCTGTCCTTGAGTCCAAAATGAATCACAATTCTGATTCTGGGTCTGTAGGCCAAATCAAAAGCTTCAGCTTCAGCTCACCCTGGATAGGTGCATGGTCTCCATGTCGTCGGACAGCATTGTGCGTGCCATCCAGGCCACAGTGGGGATCTGATACATCACTTACCTCTCGGGAGAGCCGGTTGGTGATACATCAGCATTTCTCGCAAGAGATGGCTGGTGATGTATCATCTGAGAGACCTGCACGTTTTGGGTAATTCCCAACGTGCGGGTGCCCGCTCGCTGCTTCCCTGACACCCGCTTGCGCGTGGCGGTGCTATCGCGCCCTGCCTAGAATGGGTTTTCCTCCGCGCTCGCATTCGCATCCTGTACTCTTAGTATACGATTGATATAATATATAAACACTTACATACCTATTTGCGAGCTATAAAAGCCGGCGGGGGCAATAGGAATGCCCACGCAAAACGGCAGATTTGGCAGGGGAATTTGGCAGGTAGGAGCATTGTTTGTCCCTGTTATCTTTGGCTGTCCTTGCATCCCACCTCCTCCGCCCCCCCACCATTCGGGCCTTCCCGTTCCTTGCTGGCCTATCCAGGTGCGCGGTGTATACCTAACACTCTAATCCTCCTCATGACGCCCTTTACAGGCTCCCGCGAGCTTTTCCGCGATCACTATAGCCTCCGCCATTTTGGCATTCCCTTGGCCTCCCGCCACCCTCCAGGCTCTCGCGCTGCTCAGTGCACGTACTAGAACCCCTCGCAACACCTTGGGCATTGTCCCCCTCTCTCTTTCGGCTCCATGCTCCCCCCCATCGCTCGCACCACCCCGCCCTTCCCGCCACATGGTCCCGCCGCCGCTCGCGCTACCCCGCCCTTCCTGCCACATGCTCCTGCCTCCACTCGCGCTACCCCGCCCTTCCTGCCACTTCCCGCTGCCGCTCGCTCCACCCCGCCCTTCCCGCCACACGCTCCCGCTGCTCCCCCACCGAGGGCCCCTGCGCTGCGCGGCGATGCCCTGCACGAGCTCTGGTGCTCGTTGGGTGCTCGTCCCCATACCGTCTCTAACCTCCTACTCGTTACCTTTAATGACACAAATCACTCTTATTTCATGCATATATAGCTATCCACTCTCCTTTTTTGTCGTAGAATACCTCACACAATACTACAACTTTCGCCACCTATTAATCTCGTGAAATTTACAAGTCCTACAAGAGGTTTGCCTGATATATTGCTGTGATAGATCATCTTAAGTCCCTAAGTGGCTGTGCACTATGCATTTTCACGCCTAAGTCCATAGCATTATGCTGTAAATATACAGGCTATAACTACGACCAGGAGAGTGCAACGAAACACGAAGGAGCCTCGCATTGAGCGAGGCTCAACTAGAACTGGAAAATAAAGGCTGGTTGAGCAGCCATACATACAAGACTTGTTGAAAAAGGCATGAAGGAGCTGCGCGTTGAGCGAGGCTGAGCCGGGACAGGAAAATAAGGGCTGGTTGAGCAGCCATGAATACAGGAATCTTTTCTCATCTACGTACGCGTGTCTTCCTAGGATTTCATTGCAAAGTTAGTACGCTGTATTGAATAGGTAACAAAAGGGAAACATACTTTGTAGTGGTAGCGCCAGGCGCAGCTGCAGCTGCCTTGCGTTTCTTGGCCACGGTCTCCGCCGCCGGCGCAGGCGTCTTGCGCTTCTTAGCCGCAATCTCCGCTGCAGGCGCCGCCGCTTTTCGCTTCTGTCCCGCAGGCCCCACCGCCTTCCCCTTTTGCCGCGCGAAGCCATCGAGCATGCGCTGGTCCTCCGCTTGGGCTATCGCAGCGAGCTGATCGCGCGTGCGCTTCACCTGGCGGATGATATCAGAGCCGTCGGGGTTCTTCGTCGCCATGATGGCACGTTTGGGACGTGAGCCAGTGATGAAGAGGTCGGCGCCGCCGGCGGGGTTGTGGACGCGTTTAGCCTCAGCAGCGTCTGCTGCGCGCTTTGCCGCTGTGTCGTCCACCATCTCCTTCTCACGCTCCAATGCCTGCACCCTCGAGGTGCGGAGTTCAGCGTCCTGGCGGCGTTGACGAGCAGCCTCTGCACGGGCAGCTGCACCGGTTAGAAGCGCGGGGGCAGGGACTACAGCGTCAGTGGCAGCGGTGAGGGCAGCAAGGAGGGGTTCCGCTGGCAGCAGCGTGGCGTGCTCGTCGTCTGCTGTGGTCGGCGGCGGCGTGGCGATCTCGTTGGGGGAAGGGTTCTTGCGCAGTCTGCCCCGAGGTCTCCCGGTCCCAGTATTCTTTGCGGGCTTCTTTGCAGGCTTCCTCGCCACAGGGGCGACTGGCGTCGGTTTTGGTGGATTTCCCATTGGGCAAGACTGGATGTACTGTGGTGGCGGGGTCGGAGCGACAGGTGCGACAGACATAACAGGCATGGTGGCGAGCGGAGTCGCCGTCGCGTCTGCGACCACTGAGGAGAAGACACTGAGTGCAGATGGACGTTGTGGCCCTGTGCGACCATTGCTGAAAGAGAAGGTGGGGCGAGTCGCTGGCGCAGTGGTCGATGTTGTGGTCGAGAGGGAAGGTGGGGTGGTAGGCGGCAAAGTGGAAGCTGCAGCGGAAGGCGGTGCTGTAGTCGCGTTGACAACACTGCTGATTGTCGCATTAAGCGACGCCACGGGTGTCGGACTTTCAGATGGAACGTTGAGCGAACTGCTCGATGTGAAAGCAAATGGCGATGAGGAGCTGGATCCAGGCCTAAGCGCGGCGGAGGCCAGAGAGGCTGGCTGAGACGTGAGGGTGGGATTTTTGGTAAATGCCTGGAATAGTACACTCGGTCGAAGGTCGGAT